TAGAAACTTGGGGTGTAAGGCAAGACACGATATAGCGCCAATGACTGAAGTCTATTGTCCTTGGAACGCCAGAATTTCACTCGAACGTCCTTAATTTTTGACCCCACAGTAAAAATGGTCTGGGTCCGCCCCTGATTATTATTAGCTAAAATTTTTAACAATAAAACTAAATAAGGATGAAAACTAATTTTTTTTTAAAAAAATGTCCTCTTTCCAAACCTACTCCACCCCCACACAATAAAAACCTGTGCCACCACACCACTACTACATTTTTATTGGCGTGGTTGCTGCCCATCACCACCCCCACGCCATTTTGGCAGCTTAAGAAGGTATGTTGAGATGTGATTTATATATAAATTATACATAGGTATGTTTGATGTAGATATTAGATAATAGATTTGAGAAAAATGATATTTTTGAAGAATATGTGATTAAAATATCGGAAGAAGTTTTGAGTTCGCGTGTAAAATTTTTCATCGTGATAATGTGTGATTAAAAATGAATTTGAAGAAAAATAAATTTTAAAAAGAAAACAAATTTTGTTACATCTTCGAATTTGGACTTGAAAAGTTGATAGGTGTAGGAGTAGAAACAGGTTCAAGCCTCCTCTTTCATTCTACTTGCACCAAATCATGTCACGGTTCAGCTTGTTTAGAGAGTTGATTGGTGACAAACTCAACTCTCCAAGCTTGTAGTCCACATAGCCTTTTCTAATTATTGAAGACTTGAGTTTTATTGATATTGTGTATTGTTTTTATTGCTGGGATTATTGTAATTAATTACTTAATCAATAATTATTTGATTTGTCAATAATAGCGAGATATGAGTTATTTATTTAAACCAAGTAGAAGATAAAGACATACTTCAAGAATTAATTTATTTGTACATTGTTTTTATATATTATGGATGACATCCTCTATGTATAAAAAATTTGGCGGATGACTGTGTTGAAAACCAATGATCATGATCGCTGTCACATCAACACTATCGAACTTAGCCCTTGTTTGAGTCCCATTTTTTTTATTAAAATATATTCCTGAACAGTAATTTGACCACATTTCAACATCGCATTTTTCAATAAAATAATATTACATGCAAACCCAAAACTTATTTTTTTTTGTTTTTAACAAGACATTCTTCATTATAACACTATTGCAAAATGCATTATTTATAATGTACATGTAGCAAAGCTGCTAGAAAAAAAAATTTGTTTGGCATCCATTAAATTATAACTCATTTCTCTCTCTGTTCTTATCAACCACACATTCTCCAATAAAATAATATTACACGTAAATCAAAAACTTTTCCTTAATTTTTAACCACATATTTTCCAAAAATTATTATTCCGAAACATATTTCTTTATATTAAGCCCATGTTTGGTGCAAATTCAAGTCAAAATTAACAATTAATTTTAACCGTCCATAAATTTTTCACCACATATTTCAAAATCTTTTATCAGGATATATTAAAAATTTAATTTTAATCCCTACAAAATAGGGGCTAAAAAAATATCAAATGTTTGCGCTTTTATATATCATATTAGCACATATATAATCCCCGTTTGAGTCCCGCTCTATCAAAACTCACTTTTTTTCAAATTTACTTTCAATTGCATATTTTTCCAATGACCAATAATACACGGGGCCCGTTTGAGCATCATTCGGTGAAGAATGCATTTTGAAATAGTAGATTGATTGAAAATGTGTGGTTAAAAATGAAGAAACGTTTTTGATTTGCGTGTAATATTATTTTATTGAAAATTGTGTGGTTGAAAATAAAATAGATAAGAATTTATTTTTTAAAAAAATGGAGATCAGACAAGATCTATGTAAACTCAAATTTTTTTCTTACTTTTTAATCATACCTTCTCCAAAAATCATTTTTACAAAACATATTTTTCCCTATAAATGGAGGCTCAAACAAACAAATAGTATAGATAATATTTATTATAAAACATCAAAATGTTTGAACTTTTTCAGAAATTAATTTTAAATAAAAATTAAAGTAACTTTTTCATAAAATTCTTTGCAAAAACAAAAGGAGAAGTTGTGGCAAACGATTCCTTATTTGAACTTATGATCTCATGATACATCACGACGAGCGACAAGGTAAGCTATAGATTGATGATATCATTTATCCAATTGATAAATAAGCCCCCGTTTTCAAATTATTGTAGAATGAGAATGAAAAATATAGTCGTTATTGAGGCCACACAAGAGATAAAAAATTTGAATTTAAATGTTAATGTGACGGATAACGATCATATTGTTCATTCTAACGAGATAATAAGGTGGCTCAACCCCTAACATAGTACATGATCTCTTCTACTCCTGTAGGTTGAATTTCCTTTCTCTCTTGTGAAAAATGAAACTAGTGGTGGGACGGAGGGACTAGCATTTACCGCCATTTGCTTTTGTTGTCCTCGAAAACATTCGTGGAAGAAGGTCACAGGTGGAAATTTCAATGTGGGGAAAAGCAAGAGTCACAAATGGAAGACCATAAGTTCGTGAGTCAAAGAAGCAGCATGGGAATATGACCCAAAAACCTTTTCTTTAACATCTTTCTTCTCGTGTAAGCTAAAATTTTACTGTTCAGCTATTGATTGTGAACTGAGAGGTCAAGTTCACATTGTGCGACGATCATCTTTTCCTTTCGAGTGTGCTTTGTACGGAAGATTCTTTTTTGATTTTCTCTTACTTCATTACAAAGAAAACACATTTATCTATGTGTACTCTGTATTACTTCACTGTAAAGAAGTTTCATGCTTGCAATAGTCTTGCACTTACAGGGTTTTTGTAATTTTCAGTTTTTGATAGCTAAAATACGCAAAAGAGGGTGAAAAGTGACAATGGAAGAGTGTTCTTCAAGCACGAAAAGAGCACGGCCTAAGGATGAGTTTATTCGCTTGGTGTTTTCGTGGTCTCTTGAAGACATTTTTAATGAGGATCTGTACAGAAACCAGGTTCGTTCTTTGTTACTCTTCTGGATTCTGGTGGTATATTTTCAGCTGAGTATTTAACATTTTTGCAGGTCTTGGTTTGATTATTGATGAATAACTGTAGTTCAATTTTTCAGCAGAGTATTTAAAATTTTGGTGCTTAAACTCGTAATTCTGCTGAATTTTACTTTTAGATTGCATGGTGCTTAGCTCTTGTTTGAGCCCATTATTTGGTAAAAATATATTTTGGAATAGTGATTTTTTAGAGAATGACGGGTTGAAAAGTAAGAAAAAGTTTTGGATTTATGCTTAAAATTATTGTATTAAGAGAACATGCGGTTGAAAATAAGTTTGGAGAAGAGTGAATTATTGAAAAATGGGGCTCAAACAAGGGCTTAAATTTGCATGTAATTAGAGGGGCTTTTTTGCAATTGAGAGATTCGGTAGGGAACTTATTCATTAATTTGGGTCATTTCAATAAGATGATCTAAGAGCATGTTTGCATAAGCCTGAAAAGGAAACTCGAACTTGCATTTTTAATATAGCAATTTTTGTACTAACTCTTTTTATTTTTTAGTTTAAGAGGTAACTTCTATAGAAAAGACTAACATATTTGGGGGAGAAATATATATAATCTTTCAGGGTATGTGTGATGGCATTGATGGAAGTTAACTAACATTATCATCTACTACCAAGTTGCTTTTGTCTGCCTTTCATCTATTGTTTTTTTTTTTTTAACTTTAGTTTCATTTAATGCATTTAGGTGGAGAAAATTCCAGAGTTGCATCAATCTGTGGATCAATATCTTGGTTCATATGTCTTCCCCTTGCTGGAAGAAACTCGTGCGGAACTTGCATCTGCCATGGACGGTGTTTATAATGCTCCTTTTGCTGAGGTGATAGCTCTTGATGCGGCAAAACCTTACGACACACACACTTTGTTGTATAACGTAAAAGTTGACAAATGGAAAAACAGATTAGGCCATAGTGATAGGAAGCCATATAGAACCTTGCCTGGAGATGTTGTTTTGCTTTTAACTGGGAAACCTGAATCGGTTGCTGACTTGCAACAAGTTGGATGGACATGGACTTTTGCATCAGTTACTAATATTGCGGAGGTTGAGAATGATGATAATTATACTTCCACTGATTTCAGAGTAAAAGCTGAGAATCGCATTGAGGTTGAAGATGAACAGCACAAGTCACTTTATGTGGTTTTTTTGGCAAACATAACGACAAATCAAAGGATTTGGAATGCATTGTGCATGCGTAAAAACCTAGATATCATTGAAACAGTATTGTCCAAGAATGATCGGGTAAGTTACGATGCTAATTTGAAGGTTGATTCAAGCTATGGAGGAAATATATATTTAGAACTTCTGACTAACTTTCTCTTTATCAGTTATCATTGTTACAATTTTTCATATTCTCCTCGTACATTTTTTTGCCTATCATATGTTTGAAGCTCATGGCATTTATTGACCAAAGATGTTTTGGGTTGTATGATTAAAACCTAGGAACACTTTTTGCTTGTATTACAAGAAGTGTTGCAGAATCTGTGTGATTGATAAGTTTGTCTTAACTTTTCGTAATTAGGCTGTAATCGTTGTATATATCCTCCTGTATTGATTGATAAAATATACAGAAATCATATCTGTCCACATTGCATTAGGCTTGCTGTGACCCATTAATAAAAATTGTGCCTTTAATAAAAACTGACTTAGGCCTGCACATGAAGGGGCATGTTAAAGGCTAACTTTAAATAAATAAACGTGTCTCCTTTCTAGAGCCTTGAATTTTTGGATGGGGTGGTTCAACAAAAAGGTTATGTAAATGTTTCCCTTTGTAGCATGTCTTTTGCTAATTTTGTTCTTATGTGATTTGTGTTGAGTGAAGTAACATAAGTTGTACACGTACTGATTATTTTGCTCCTATTGACAAAGCCAGCTGAAGCTATATATCTATTTTGAATACTGCATATTGCTAATAACAGTGGTTTTAATCAACATGTGTATTTTTCTCAAAACAGGACGAAGAAGTTTGTGAACTTTGTTCTCTC